ATCCCGAGCTCCTTAATTAGTTGTATAGAAGCAACAAACTACCCGCCGCTCTTGTTTGTCGCTACGGCAGCCACAGCTTCCAGCCAATATATCGTTTATTCGGCAACCCGTCGAATGATACACGAGGTAATTAACCTACGAGCGAATAGCGGCGATAATTAATTGACATTCGTCGGGAATATTTGCGTGATTAGAAATACACTAAAGCAGCGCACAGGTTGTGGATTTCAAACATCCTCGCGCTCGAGGTCGAATCATGCCCGTGTGATGTCGGCTGATTTTGCACGGGTTTACACTTTTTCAATTACACGAGCATGTTTAACGTCGGTATAGTTGTAACGTCGGTATAATGGCTTACAGTTAGTATTTACAAAATGATGATATAATTAGTATTGTGCGGAGCGCATCTCCACCAAGACTAGCTTGACGCGGGGAGAACTTTGTTCGCGAACGAAGAATATAGAGATACGAGTATGTGCGGAAAGTAAGCGACGCGCGCGCGAAATCACGACGATCCTCTCTCTCTCTCTCTTTCTGTCTCTCTCTCTTTCGAAGCTACGAGAAACTTTAAATAAGTCGCGCGTCTTCCTCGAAATTTGTGATATCACGAGAGATTCTCCTAGTTTTAAAGTTTCCACACTCTCCCTCTCTCTCTCTATCTACCTCTTTCGGACTTTCAAAAATCTGGCCCAACCTCTGGAAGAAAAGGTTTCCACTGTCCACGATGAGAGGACAGCGTCCTGGAAGGGCACAATCGGTATTCTCCTATATTCATATTTCACAAACGCCTTTTCTGTATTCATATTTCGCACATATAAGGTAAAAGTACCAATTCTCGGACACATACTGGTCCTAGACATTCTTATCTTTTTTTTTTATTTTTAACCTTAGAACTCTGAACATGGGTGAATTTACTCAGGTCAACTTTTCAACCATTCTTTTCAAAACATGTGTTTTGTTTTTCCATTATAACTTTTTCAACTCCATTAAATTGCAAAAACATTAATAGTTTTATATTCCTTGATGTTTTTTGCATCGTGATTAGAAAAGTGAAAGGATTAAATTTCGATTATTTTTTCGAAAAATATGAACGAATGAAAAAGCACTGGATAAAGTTTACTCATGTTTTAGCTACTATTTACTCTTATTCATATAATTCTTTTATGTTTAGAGTTCTATAGCGTTAAATACATATATTTAAACTTCTAACATAAGACACATACACACGAAAATAATTTCAGAATAAAAATTACTGTAGAATTTCGCTTGATATTCTAGCGTTACATATTCGTACGTAAAAACGAAGACAATAAGAATGTCCAGGCTTGCATTTCAAAACGTTCTTCCTGACAAAAATTTTACTGAGAATCTATAGTTCACATTCCTATGGATATTCAGAGAATTTTTCTTTAAAAAGGACATTTTGGAATGTTGCCCAGAATTAGATACGTGCTCGGGAATTGGTACTTTTACTTTACATATGCAGAATATGAATACGGAAATGGCGTTTGCAAAATATGAATACCTTCCAGGACGCTATCCTCCCATCATGGATAATGGAACCTCTTCTTCTAAAGGTTGCGCCAGATTTTCGGACATCCTTTTCGTTTCGGTCCTTAAATACGAGTATATTTAAATTTTCAACATAGAATATCCGCACATATTCAATACACGTATATGTACTTTCTATGGTCAAAGTTTCGATATTTAAAAATCAAAACGATAAGAATATCCAGAATAAAGTATGTGTTCGAGCACTGATATTTTTGTCCAGAATTGGGAACGTTATTTTAAAAAAGTAACACGTTACCGTCACTTTTCATAAAGTAACTCGTTACCGTTATTCGTTATTAATTTTAAAAAGTAACTCGTTCGGTTCGTTACTTTTTCGTTATTATTTTATAATATTAAAATAAAATACGAGCGTAATTGATTTTAAAATAAAATTATTATTTTGAAACTTAAATCATTATATTTAGCTAGTTCATCTAGAAAGAACAAACTATTCAAAACTGCAATAATCCTAACTCGGAGAACTAATATATATAATATTTATGAGCTTGATTCCATCTTCTTCTCTTTTACTATTCTTCACATAAAAATTATTGTCGGTACAGAACTAGATTACAATTTTTTGAAAATGTTTAATAAATTTTATAATAGGTATGTTTAGTGCAATACATACATACACTTGTTCCATAGTTTCTTAAAAAGAGTGAACTACACTAAACATACTTACTATTAAATTTATTAAAAATTTTTAACAAATCCAAATCAAAATCCTACTCTGCACTAATAATTATTTTTACATAAGATAAAACCACCTACTGTCTTCTAGCGAATATCGAGGTATTTCTATCCACAAAAATAAAAATATAATGCACTCATCAGCGTGCAATACATCATTTATTGAATAGAGATAACTAAAATAACGATAAAAGTAACGGTTGAATTCGTTACAAACAGGAAAAAGTAACGGTCGTTATCAAAAAAAAGTAACGATAATGGTGTTACAAGTAACGCGTTATTTCCAAACTCTGCTTCTGTCTTACTAGAGCTCAATTGCAAGTGCACGCGATTGTTATTAAATAACAATAGATGCCTTTCCAATGGGCTCGGTCTTATTAGATCGATCTCTATCTCACCGTAAGATGACGGAGAAACGATTCAGTTTTCCCTTCACGTCCGTGCTGATGCGATTAAAACACCGCACGAGTTACGCGCGCGCGATATGACATCCTAGGAGAAGATATACGTCTCTAGTCAGACCACTGCAGAACCCACAAGACGTAACTCTTTGCGCTCTTCCCTTGCTCCTCTCGCGCTTTTATACGGCCCTCCACATTAATTTGCAGAATACTATATACGCCGTCGTTTTTTCGCAGTCACTACATAATTAAGTATCGATTATCGTTAAAGAAGCCGTTATAACAATTTCACACCGGCAGTCAAAAGCAGCCGCATTTACCTTCTCTTCATCTTCACGACTCTCGCTATCGCGAGATGAGATCCAAGTTAATGTTACACGACGCGATAAGAGAATTGCGATAAGAAAACAAATTATGTGAAAACGGAGGAGTAATGCTTTCTGAAATAAATCATTCTTTCTGTCTCTCTCAAACGCTTCGGCTGTTCCCTTCGATCGGATATTAATTATTGGCAATCACGATAATGGACAATTTTTCTGTTATCTATTAAATATTTATTTTGCAATACGTACGAAAAAAATATGTAAACATTATATATTATATTGTATATTATATTATACGCGGGAGAGACATATATACGGATTGTTTGACAATTAATGACGCACTCTTTGTGTACAAGTAGAATTCATAGAACTGAACATAGAATTCCTCTATCGTTTCGTAAAAACTACATAAAATTTTTAGTTATTAATTAAAAGAAACTGACGAATGATCACGCGCGAAGAGTTGTGATAGACGACACGACAGTCGTATGTTTGTAGGTCAAACAAAAAAGTCTTCTATCATTTTGCAAATGACCACGCAGATTTTTTATTATTAATTAAGGAAGATTAGTGCATTACCGCGCACAATCATGTTTATTCAATTAGACGTAATGAGTATTGAGAAAAATCCCTCGGTTATCAGAACAAAAACACATTTGCTGTTTAATAATCATTAGGGAAACAGATCGAACCGTTACAAATCGTTTTTCATCATTTGTCATTTTAACAAACATATATCGTCTGGGATATCAATCACATTTGTCCGTGTCTATTTAGGTTAGGTTAGTTATGTTTTCACTGCAAAAGTGTTGCTTAGAATCGAAAGTAACAAATCATTTGTCCGCACTGCGGGATCATTTGCTGTCCCATATCAACAAACCATCTGTTGTGGGTACTAGTATTTTGTTAAATTGGCAAAACTTTTTCTGTCAGTGTACGAGAGAGCATAGGACGGCAGATGTCGCCGTCACAGCTCATCCATCGTATATCTCGCGTGATCCAATCATTTTTTAATTAATAATTCTAAATTTTACGTGATTGTTTGCAAAATAATAGAAGAATTATGTGTTCAATTTGATGACTTCTACAATGGATGTGTCATTTATTATCAAATTATATCCTGTATAATACACGCATTAAAAATTTCGATGAGTTTTCCCTTCCCATTGTTCTTCTTTGGTTGCTTTCACTCCAAATAGAAAAAAAAGAAAAATATAGGAAGTATAATTGCCGCTGTATCGATCGAATCGCGAGTGTGGGTAAAGTAAACATTTAATTAAACTCCGCCATACGTCCGATATACGTTCAGCTCGAGGCGGAACCGGAATTTACCATTCGACAAGCAGAACGGATATCCTGTGTCCGAGCTCTTTTCTATTTACGTTTTGAAAAATTTAATAATTGCTGGAACAAACCCGTCTTTGTTTGAAACGCGTTGAATACAACGACAGAGCCGAACTTGTTCCCGCCAGTCAATCCCGATCTACAGAATGACTATTAATGACACGACACGACGAGATTTGCGCGCAAAAACGTTAAGGACGCTCAGATAAAAGTGCAACGGTGTGCACTATTTCGTTTGAAGGTTAATCATTTGACAATTTAAAATTGAATTTTCGCTCTAACGTAACTATCGAAATTCGTCGATTGTTTTCGAGTAATTAATGATTAAAAATATATAAACTCGTGACGCTCCAGCTACCGAACGTTTCAAAGGAGAAAAAATAATTACCAAATCATATTTTGCGGTCAACTGCAAGAGGATTTTGCCGTGACGGTGTGTTAATTTTTAATTCGATGTCTCGGTTCATAGGGATATATATCGCATAAAACGCTCGCCGATTATGATGAACGATTTCCATCTCGATTTAGCGCGCAGTAAAAGATTGACCGCGATTCACAGTGGAAGAATACACACTTAAAAAAAAAAAGAACGCCGAATGGAAACGCAACATCCAGTATGTGTATGTGTGTGTATGTGTATGCGTGTGTTTGTGTGTACAACGAGAAAAATCTATGACACACTCACCGGTCAGTTGCAGGCGTCCCACATTGCTGCTGACGACGGTTTCCTGAGTTAGCCGATGATGCGTCCTGCACCGATAAGTCATCTGTGCATCGCTTCGCGTAATATTGATTATCATCAACTCGCCGGTCGGCAGCATATGATATTTGCCATCTACAACAACAACAACAACACACATCGGGCTCGAATTACGTGGCTATCACATCGCGGTACTCCAAATCGATCGGAAGAGGAAATTACATGTTTATACGTGCGCGAGCGTAAATGACGCGATGTAACATAACTCCCGTTTTCCAATAGCATATAATAACACAATTAATTATTGCGGCACAACGCACACGATAACTGCGCGTACACAAAAGGTTTTGTAGTTTCGCCGGTACGCGGTACGATGTGTTGTTCTATTGTTAAAGGAAGCGCGCACCTCCCCTCGCGCGCGCTTACACACGCGCGCGCGCGCGCGCGCATGCACGCACACAACACACACGGCGTATATTCGGCCATACTTTATTTCGCCGGGTTGGCGCTTATAACGCAACAGCGTCAACGTCACCGTCGATAATGCTTACCGCCCATCGTGGAGGGGTAGATATTGAAAGCTGGTTCTTGAAGCCACGATGTGACCGTGACGTGATCGCGAACAAAACTGGGCACGTTGCAGCGCATAAGTACGTTGTTGCCGAGGAAGCCGCTGGGACTTTGCACTTCCGGGTCGTAACGCTGGTTCACCACTGTAACACGTAACGACAGGTTTCACCCCTCTGTGCCCATGCAGCGCGCCTTCCCAGGAACCATAAGAACGTTAACGGTGTCGCGCGCGTTCGCAGCCGCGTCGTCGGGCGCGCCGTTACGATTCGGTTTAATAAACGTCCAGAAGGATAAGAAGCACTCCGGGAACGATCCGTCACGCTCCTAACGACGACGCCCCGACGTCGTTCTCGACGTCGAAAAACTAGAGCGTAACACACGCGCGGATATGTGTAATTTTATGCCTCCGGCTCTATACACACTTAATGATCTGTTTGTATTTGCGGGTAAACACGCGCGTTACACGTCCGCTGCGCATATGCGATACGTCGAATTTATACGACTGGTTAATAAAATGAGTTACAAATAACCGTCATTAATTTAGTGCAAATTTAATGACGATTGGCTAACGGAACACAAAGAACGTCCAATGGCGGAGCGTTGAACGGCACGGAGGAGAGGGTAGAAAAAGGCGCGTTAATTAGCGTAACTTTGCAGCCATCGTGCAACTTCCGACCATCTTGTATCGTGAATAAATAGTAGGAATAGAAAGGAACGTGCTCGGCTCACGCGTTACATAAGAATGTTCGCGCGAATAAATGTCTCATGTCACGTGAGCACCGCGCCGCAATGCATTCCGTTTTAGGGAGACGTCGAATTCACTGAAAGAATTATTCGCAACGCGGCGGCGCGAATCTATGACGAGAGAATTTATAAGAAACTGCAGTTTCAATTCATGAAAATTCTGCTGCGGTATAAGCCTCTCTCTCTTTTTCCTCCTTTTCTAGGGAAAATCGCATCAACTCCCGTCGTCCAATCCCCCTCGTCATTTCTGCGCGGCTAACGATACGCGCTAACGAAAAGGCACACGATGGAGCTTGATGCGAGCATAGGAGGAACTATGCGGTCAGAGTAGAAAATCCCAAAAGGCGTAGTCTTATCCGAAATCTCGTGTCGCGATCCGCCCCTGACCCGGCAGCCCACGTAAGTTGATGGGCTCGGCTGAAAGGTTGGTAAGGGCATGTCTAAGAGGGGGTGGAAATAAGGTTGTAAAGAACGTGGAAGGCAAGGCAGGCAGTCAGGCAGGAGTCTAAAAGAGAGAGAAGGAGGAAGAGAGAGAGAGAGAGAGAGAGGGGGGGGAAGAGAGAGAGAGACTGGGTGAGGATGAGAGAGGAAGAGAGAGAGAGAGACTGGGTGAGG